GCTTCCCCCTACCTCCCTTGAAACGTAGGTGGTCACCCAAAGTAAATAGAATTCCTTCTACTCCCTCCACATCTGCTATGTGTTATCTGGCACTCACCTCTGACCCTGATATTCATCATAAGAATAAGAATTGCATCCTATTCAGCTGCTTGTGTGCACTTTAACTCCAGTAATCACTGACTGTTGAAATAGTATGTGCTGGGAGGAGAAATTGCTGAGACATCATCAGGGTTCAGACTGGACTTTGTTTTTTGTGCACTTTTGGATAATTAAACAGAAGTGTAGGGATAAGCAGGTCAGCATAGTACACCAGGGGACAAAGCTTGGTATAATTCAGGATTGTAGTGGCTGGTGAATGTGACAAAACAAGTTCAATGCTAACTCTTAATGAGAAGGACTTCTGAGTTCTGTTTGTAAGCTGCTGGATCAAATTATATTGTGCATTTGCATAGAGAGACAGTATCCTCTATGGAAGCAGTAAGTTTAAATGTATGTCTGTGATGCAAACAACAGTTAGTGATCCTCTTTCTTTCACTTAATAACACCACCCTCCATGACCTGGTGGTATCATTCAGGGAACAAAGTAATTTTTTTTGTGAGTAACAGTTTTAAAATCTGATCTTATATGTGAAGATCTGTATGTTAGGATGAACAAAGATCTGGCCTCTGCCACCCCACTAAATAGAAACCATCTGAAATTTTCCTTTTATCACAAGGCTGGGCAGAATTATTTTTTGGACACTGTGGAGGAAGAAATAAAACTGCCAATTTGCTTGCCAAGGATGAATCAATTAAAACTTTGGGATATTTACCAATTCTTTGATTACTAAAGACTTTTTGCTACTTGCTCTCTTCTTTCATGGCAAAGGTGTGAAGGAGGAACCTTTTGCTTGCCCCTAGTATTCACACTCATATCTTCAACTGAATTATGATGCTAGTCATAGAGCAATGGGAGCTAAATGTGAATTTGGACTGTGGAATAAACTGCAAAATCTTAAGGGCTTTTAGCTGTCAACTTTATCTCCCTCTCTCCATCCACCCACCCCATCCACAATCCTTTTGATTTTAAGAAAAAGGACTTGGGAACCAATGGTTTTATCAGCTGCCACTCCTGCCCTTTTGGTGCTACAAGCCTCAACACTGCTTACAGAAAAACAAAACCAAGACCTCCTTGTACCCACACTTTGAGGTGATCTCTGTCAGTCCAGCAAAAGCAGTTCTTGCATGTGCACTTCCAGTCAGAAGGCCATCATGTGGATTACTAGCACCTAGTAGTGCTCAGTTACGCATACCAATTATCGGGATGTGAATAGATTTATTTCTTTCCTTTTAAATTGTTTATGCTTCTTCACTTGCCAAGTTTGTTTCCTTGAGCATGTCTGTTTTTATATTTAGCAAAATTAACAAGGGATGAAATAGGTGCTGAGGATGTTAATTATGTAATTATATGAGCAAAGATATACTGTGTAATGGACAGGGAAGAAAAATGACAAAGACCTTACATGAGGAAATTAAATCCCATGTTAGGTTTTTGATTAAGGTTCTGATTTTTACTGTGTTGCCAGTGGCCACTGGTGACCTCAAATGTGAAGGTGAAGAGTTTTATTTCTTGTTTGCATTTATTTAAGTGTGCGCATGTGCATCTGCTATATACTCACATTAGTGGGTGGGTGGAGGGGGCAGGGGTTATCAGCAGATTAAAATATGGGAGGCAGGATTCTCATCCAGGAAATCATCTGTTTGAAAGAGACTGTAAAATGAAATGAAAAGGATCGTATGAACCTTAGTGGTACCTAAGTGGTTTCAGTTTGCATGTTGTTAAAAATCATGCAGTGTCCTTTGGTGCCCTTTTCATCTTGATCATCTTAATAAAGAAGACCAGTTAGTTTGAAAGGTAGTTCTCAATTGGAATTGACTTCTGATCATCCTATCACTTCACAATCCTTTATACATCAGGATCACTTGAAAGTATATGAACATGTTTGTGGGGATTTTTCTTTTCCTCTGGAGAGATTCAATTATTTATGCTAGAATTATTCTTATTGTGAGTTATTTTTATAATTGAATCAAAACTGTGTAGGCTGATACAGCCCCAAGTCACTGTTGTGATCTGAAAAATCCTCAAAATAGCAGAGTAGAATAACTTTGTCACTTGTTTGTCATACCAGTTATGACAATGGGTCAATTCCATGGATGTCTAAAATGATCTTTAGCCACATTTTATGAAGCCAGAACTGTAATCCAATAACAATTTTCTGGCTAAGTGCTTCTCAGTTGCCACTGGGGACTATCTGCATCATTGTTGATGCTCTTAAAATGAGTTTAAGTTAAAAGGACACAAATTTCATATTTCTTTCCTTATTTTCTTGAGAGTAATCTAAGAAAATAATATTTTAAATAATTGCATTCTGGTTCCTGAGGGATATCAGCATAATTGCATTGAGGATACCTTTATTTTTATGCATTTATTTATTAACAAAGAACTACATTCCATCTGTAAACCAAATGATTGGTACAATGGCACAAAACAATAAAGTAATGTAACCTCTGGTTCATTAAATTGGAATATAGGGATTGAATTACTAATTTATGTTGGTTTGAATTTCTTGCTATAAATTTTACGATTCTAAGATGTAAGGGAAAAATATATCCCATGATGTAGGCTACCTGTAGTTCCAGCCAGGAAAATTTATATCAGACTCATGGATGGTGAAGACTGGCATGGTTCATCTAGTACTTTGGTGGGCACTTCACAGAAGGCACAGCTGAAAAAAAAACCAAAACAAACCAAGAAAGCACAAACTCTTATTTAAACTGAAAATATTCTGTAGGGGTCACTTTTAAATATGGATAGTGTGAAATGCTGGTTTCTGAAACTCTGCAACATGAAGGTCGGGTAGCAAAAGAAATGAGCAATGAGAGAGATGCTTCATAAACCTGTAGTGGTTTCATTTCATTTCTGTGTTGTCTCTCCTGCAATCCACTGCAGTGTTTTATTCACTGTAATCTTGAATTCAAAACTTTTGTACAAATTTCAATCTGCTATTAAGTTTGCTCTATTCTGATCATTTCAGTTTGATTTCTGTGTTTAACAGTCTCTGGAGCTGCTTGTAGAAGTAAATGTAAAACCCATATAAGACAATATGTTCTCTTCAGTGTTATTATGCTGACTGGATTCCTACTGGGACCTAATCCTCTGTTATCACAGGTTTAAGTTTGAACTGGCTCTTATTTGAACCTGCACGACCACAGACAAGTCGCTTTCTGTGAACAGTGTCTGCCTCAGTGTTGTACTTCTTCAAAAGTTGCGTTCGTTTCCTTCCTGAGTAACACAAAGTATTTCACAAAGGCTGCCCTCAGATTTTTGGGGGCAATATTAGCTAAGCTTTCCCTTTCTTACAAAGAATGGGTAATCTAAGCCACCTGTATGGCAATCTGTTGTGAATATTTAGGAACTGAAAATTGATTTAATGAATTTGAGATGATGTGATGTTTCCAGAATTTCGGCAGTAGAGCCACGCTTACTGTGAGCTTTAACTGCCTCCCCCCTTCTCCACCCTGGGTTTTTGTTTGGAAACCAGATAGGCACAGCAGGGTGTTTGTCTCTATTCTGCACCAGATCTCACTTTTTACTGGGTTTTGAGGAAGCCACAACAGGAAGTAGTTTAATACATCTATGAAATAGCACGTGACTTGCTTGTCACTTGCAAGATGCCATTATGATGGGGCAGTTTGCCTGCTGGAAGTCTGGGATTTCTCTGCAAAAAACTTACCAGTTATTTGATTACTCATTAACATACTGTGAACCACCATCAATTTTGATACACAAAACAAAAGATCAGGGTTCTTCCAGCTTAAAATTTGCACTTGCTTGATGGTAGAGGAGATTTCAGTCTCTTCTGACCACAAGGAGAGGCCTGCTCCTCTCCACCCTGGTGTCAGGTGAAGGCTATGAGCCCTCAGGCAGGTCAGCAACAATTGAGGCTCTCAGGTCAAAGCAAGGCCAGCTTGGATCAGATTCCTCAGTGCTGGTCCTGTCAAGTTTTGAGCATCTCCAGTGGCAGGGATTACACAGTATCTCTGCCCTATATGTTAGTTTTTTACTGTCCTGATGATTTTTTTCCCACTTCAACAATATTTAATTGTAATATTCCTTCTTGCAACTTGGTGTTGATTATTTCCCATCCTGTCACTGGTGCACCTCTTTAGAAGAGATTGGCTCTCTTTCTTTCTCTCTCTCTCTGCCTCCCTCCCTCCCCCTCTCTCCTACTTCAGACTGTGTTTGGAGTACGCAGCTAAAGTTGCCCTTTGCTGAACCTTCTCTATCTTGCAGAGCTTCAGAATTTTCAAGAAATAGTGTTCTGCCTTTCATAGTTGGACCTTTATTGAACTTCATTTGAACTTGATTGATAAGCAAATTCTTATACTCTTGTGTAAGAATAAGGTTTTCTATTTCAGAGTCTGAAATGTGGGCACATTTGGGGTCTGTAAAGTGTATAATCTGGATTTGATAATCATGCTATTGAAAGCTGGTTTATGAAGGACAGGCATTTGCAGGTCATACTTTTGCTACAAAAACTCATATCACTTTGTGTGCATTATGTCACTGAAACTGTGTGTGTTTCCCTTGAGGCAATGGCTGAACACCATGAACCTTGATTGTTTCCAAAGGCTCAGGGAGACCCAGGCATCCTGAGCTCTAGTCTATGCTGATTGTCCGTAATACACTTGAAGCTTATCTTTCTATACTTCATTGATTCACAGTATATAAGCATTTGCATAATATGAAAACCCTAAATGGAAGAAAGGTGCCAATTATCAAATATGAAATAGATTTCAGGATGCTCAGGCATTCACTTTTCATTATAGATGTGTCCTTGCTATTCTTGAATTCTGTCTGGAGGATGATACTAGAAGGTTTTATGTGTACTTGGCTGGAAAAGATATGATTTAAATAAGTCTAATTACTAACTATCTGTTTTGTGTGGGTTTTTTTCTAGAGTTCTTGAACAGGAGGTGATCTGACAATAAGTGTATTTGCACCACAGGTAAGTGACACAACTGATTGTATGAATTTTTTTACAGTATTTATTGAAGTGAAATTGGTAGTCAGTTAGGAGATCTGTGGGCATTTGCTGTCCCTGAAACTGCCTCTGTTCTCTCCAATTTCCCTATGGGCTGTGTGTACAGTGGGAGTCCCCCAGATCTGTGGAGACTCTGGAGGAGATGGGGTGTTGGCCTCCTAAATGCTGTCATAGGCTGATGCCAGTATATCTGATCTGTTAGGCTTCACACTTCCAGGAATTTAAACAAAGTCCTCTTTTGATCCTTACATGGCATTGCATGATGAGTTTCAGGGCATCAGAATTGTTACTCAGACAAACTGGATTTGGTATCAAAATACAGGAGAAGTAAAGATAAAGTAAGATAGCTAGGGAGAAAAAGTGAAAGTATGGAGAGGACATTGCAAATATTAATTTAAATTTTGGGGAGATTGCTTTCTAGATTGAGTAGCCAGCACTAGGGTAGGAAGGCGATGTAAGAAGTTTGGCTTGATATACACATAAGAACCATTCTTAACAACTTCAAAGAACAAGTTGTTTCTGCCATAGCACACCTAAACCAGATTGTTTCAGCACACCTAAAAAAGGTTGCATCCTCTTTCATGTTGCAAGTAACATAATAATGCTTGGGATTTTTTTTTTACCCCTTTAACAGTAAACGCTGTTCCATGCACCTGTTTTATAAAGTCTGGTTGTAGAAGGGATGTAGGGCACTGGATGTCCTTTTTTCTGTGTTGGTGTTGGGGGAGCTGCAGTTGTAGTTTTAGCTCCAGCCCCTTATAAACCATATGAGCCAAATATTGTTCAGCCCAAAACCAGCCATTGCTTTTGTACTTTTCAAGCAAATTGAACAAGTGGAAGTAAAGCAGACAATAGTTTTTTCTCAGTCACATTTTTAGAAATGCATTTGATGGCCTCACTGTTATAGTAAAGACCAGCAGCCCTGTGGTTCTATCATTTCTATTAAATGGCACTGCTTTAGACTAACTGGCAGTAGGCTTTTTTCTGCTCACCAACCTGTTTCATTCAGATAACTCCTCAGTCATCAAAGGCTCCTTCTTTGGTTGCACCACAATCATTGTGACAGTTCCAGGTAAGAGTATTTGGCAGGGATAGCTCAAGGGTTCATTCTTTTCCGAATGTTTACTTTACCTAACATATCTTTCCTGGGTGCCACAGTGATTAGTCATCTGTAAATTATTTAAGGGAAGGTAAGGAATAACATTCTTCCCTAGAAGAATATTCTTCCCTAGAAACAGATAAAGAGTGTATAATAAAAATCATAAATAGCAAAACCCTCTCAGTACTGAAGATGTGCTAGGAGAGATGCTTGCACAGCAAGCAAAACACAGTGTAGAACAGCGTGAGCATGTGTATTCTAGATAGCGCAGAGAATATTGACTGTCATAAAGATTAACTGAAAATCCTCATTTATAAATTACTGTAAACAGGATTTTTAAATTCCTTTCTTCGCAAACTTTAAATATTTGGGTTGATAACATCCACATTGGGCCTCCTCTTGGGGCAAAACATTTGGAAAGACTATGATCAAAATTGTTTGGTTATTTCTGGAGAGGAAGTGAATATGTATTGTTCTGTGTAAAATTTTGAGCACATTTTCTCCCCTGAATTGCACCTTTCTTTTGCTGTTTCAGTATACCATCAAAATCTTTTGTCAAAGTGTGATCTTTCTTTGAAGTACTAGTTTCTGTTGAGAAAGAGGCTATTGCTGCCTTATTTCATGAGCTGAAATGATTAAGATCTGTAGAGCGACTCTAAATGTTCCAGTGATGCTACTGAGTCACAGGCTTATCAGTAGAATTCTGCGCTATGGTATTTGGGGGGAGCTGGATAGATCCAAATTTTTAGAAACATGGTAATAAAAATAAAGGCTGAGATTATGAGTTTAAAATCAGGATGAAATCTGCTGGATAATGGAAGTACAGCACTCACTCATTGAGCAGTTCAAATATTTTTTTCAAGTATATAAAATCCAATATTTTATTTTTTTCTTCAGTTACATGTGTGCCTTCAGGCCCTTTTTATTGCATGCTTTTCAGAACTTGCTCCAGAGACAGAACTATTAATTTCCTCCTAGGTTTCTGCATAGCACTCAACACTACAGTGCTTCAGAAACCATTAATGAAGTTATTTTCACAACACCTCCATGAAATGAGGAGAGATTATTGTCCTCATTTGACAGATGGCGACTGAGGCAGAGTAAATCAAAGTTGAAAGCGCCTACTAATTTGGGAATCCAGTTTGAGACATCCTGCTTCTATCTTTTTCACAATATTTAACATTGGGTAGTAAGCTGAAAGCACAGTTCCCTTTAATTTCAGCTGCATTTATGAGTGATCAGCACTTCAAGCAAGGCAGACCCCAGGGTTCAAGTCAGGCATGGAGCACCTGAGGAACATAAGTTGATAGATGACCTTGAGTAAAAAGCTTGGCTTTATGAAACTTGTCCTGTATCTCATAGACTGTCATATGAACAAAAACTACATGTAGACTCCAAACTATTTGAGGAAACTTTATAATTACCTGAAGTAGAAAATTGTCTTTTTTTTTTCTTTTGTTTCCTCTACCTTCCTCACTCATTACATAGCTCTGAATGTCAGCAATGCATGGGGCAGCCCATCTCATCCTTGCACAGTAGCCTTCTGCCCTGCATTGATTTATCCCACAGACAAGTCCATGCCTCACATTGTGGAAAACAGTGGTGTTGTGGAAAACTCACTTTGCAATTATGTAAATGTACTGATTATAGCTGGAGTAGAGTTAGTTTTTTTTCACAGTAGCTAGTATGGGACTGGTTGCATGATGAGTTTAACCAAATGCCAAACTCTTGTCTTGTCTTTGATCATAAACACTAACATTTGAGATGTATCACCAGGGAGAGCTACAGGGTACTAATGAGATAAGGAGTATACTGATCTAGAGTAGCTCTGCATAAGTTTCTGTAGGCAGATGCAGTATGAGCAGGGATGATTGCTTTTTAACTGTACTGATTTCCTCCCATTCCCCATCTCTTACCCCTCAGTGTTATACCTAGATCCCCAACATTGTAGGGTGAGGAGTACTGTGTTTTGCTTGTGTAGAATTTAGTATACTGTAGTCTTGTTCAAGGAACTTCAGTTGTTTTGGTAGAGTTTCTCTGCTTTCGTGTTATTCATGTTATCACCAGAAAACCAATGAGTCTCAAGTAGATAATTGAAATATTTTCTCTGTGGACCTCTGAGGTGGTGATCACTGACAGTCTCTAGAATGTTGTAGGGAGAATTGTGATTTTTTTTCACTAACTTTTGTTTCTCTTAAGTGAATTTAATGTGCTCTATACTTTTCAATTTACTAAAGTACTAGTAGTTTATTAAAAGAGGACATTAAATTGACCTGTGTATCTGTATCACAGGACTGTTGTGAAGATTAATAATTAGATAATGTTTATAAAGCACTTTTTATAAGTGAGAAGTGCTATAAAGTGCTAAGTATTATTATTGCAGCATGATAGAGATCACAGAACACAAGTGAATCAGCTCTAGGTTTTATCCTTATAAGGAAAGCATACCAGGGGCAAAATAACATTGCAGTTATTTTTCTTACATCCAGCACTTCATTAACTACCACATAGGGTTATATAACTCTGTGAAAGTCTAACTTAGTCAAGTCTATAATCATAGCAGGAAAAGTTCTCACGGGTTTTGCAGGCAAGACTTGTATGTACAGCCTTGAAGGTCACACACAGTTACTCCAGCAATGCTGCACCAGTGCCTCCAGTTGCATGTAGGGACATCACTGCCCCATTTGGCACCCTCCACATTAACCCCATCATGCAATGCTCTGTCTAGGCTGGATAATACATGCCACAAATACAGGTCTTCCCTACATGTAAAATGGCATAATGCCAATAAATGCATACAGACATCTGCATCTTCTCAAGATTTTACTATGCTTTCTCTCACCAGCTCTTTTCCGCACTCCATAATCTCTGCTTTTACTCTAAATTTTTACAGAAGATGTGTGAAAGACACCCCAGCAAATCCATCACTTTTTTTCTGGCTCCAGACAAGTCTTTAATCTCTTTGAGAAAATCAGTCAGCATTTTCTTTCCTCTTTAATTCTCACTTACTGCTTATCTTGCTGCAGGTGGCCTACTACTACTGCTGCAGTCATTGCTTTTCCCAAGGATGCCATAAACATAGAATATTTTCTTAAGTCAGATTCTGGTGCTGCCTGTTTTCTGCCTCATCCTCTGTAGGACATTCTTGAGCCAAAACCTTGAGAAGCAGTATTTATTACTTGGTACAGCTACCTACTGAGAAGAGGAATGTGAAATAGACTGCCTAGAGAAGTGGTGTGCTGAAACTATGGAAGATAGTCCATTAAGAAAAATCATGTACTGCTTTCAATTGGATTTAACTTCTTCTCCTAGGAGCTTTTTGGGGGGGGGGGGGTGTGTTTTTTTTTGGTTGGGGTTTTTTGTTTATTTGGGTTTTTGTTAATTTTGGGGGTTTTTTTCTCTTGTTGTTATAGGGATTTTTTTAGTTTTTTGTTTGTTCTGGTTTTTGTCTTCTTTTTTTGGTTGGTTGGTTTTTGTTTTATGGTTTTGGGTTTTTTTTGCAGGGCTGGGTGGAATGGGATGTTTCTTGTTTGGTTTTCCGCTCTCCCTTCTTCCTATAGCAATTGCCAGTAGACAGCCTTTTAAATCCTGGGTGCTGGTATGTGGAGTGCCTTCCTCTTAACTTTGCACTGGCCACCCTAGTCTGACTAAAGCATTCCTCCATCTTATTTTTTTTAAAAAGGCAAGCAAGTAAAGGTACACCAAGGTACCATGTTCCTCAGTACAGTACACAAGCAAACTACTGAGATGAGTTTAATGCATTTCTTTGCTTCTGAAAGTGCAAAATGTGTATTAAAATGTCAGGTCTTATATGAGAAGTGCTGAAGAGAAAGCAGTTTCCTTGAGCACCAGATAAATGAGCTTC